TATCAAGTTGACACAAAACTAGCCAGTACTCGCTGGCCAGGAAGGAACTAAGGTCTCTCTCAAAATATAGGTTAAGGTATTACTTGTGGTTGCCCATCAGAATTGGATGGTAAGACTGTATGGCTGATGACAACGTACTTTGATCACAATACATTGAGAAATCAAGCTGAAGCAAAGCTGAAAATTTTTTCTTACTTTCATGGCTTCAAACTACAAGAATTTCCTCTGCAATCTGTGAGGAAAGAAGTCATCACGTATTACCAGCTACATGAGCTACATTATCAACCTGTCAGGAAATATATATATTCTCAAATTGTGGAATGGGTGGTATTAGGATGACCTATCACTTTCTCATTGGATTTGTCACCCTCTCCACAGAGAAACCTCATGCTGAGTTCTTAAAATAGGCATTCTTACATGTTTGTGCTCATGCAAGTGTGCATGCATGTGCACTATGTATTTGTGTCTATAAGGGCCATAGGAGAGTTATGATGGCCTAGAAAATGCATTACATCATAATGGTGACAGTCGCCTAATATGCGTAGCTAGAAATGTACATGGGTATTCTAGAAGACATGCAAGTACTCTTAGCTACATCATCATCTCTTTAGTCCTCATTCCAGATCCTTTAAACCTTGTCTAGAGCCTATGGCTGGGGAGGTAATTTCTCAGGCAGAACATAATACTACTACTGCCTTGGAGAATGTTGATGTCAAACTGCTTTGTAAATTTGCATATACATATCCGTAGATGGGTGCTGCGCACAGCATTTATCACAGAAACTTCTTACTGCAGGGGTGTATAGATGACTAAGAAACCTGTAACTACCCAGGCTGCCATGCAGAGGAAGGGTTTGGTTTGAAATGGGTCAGCCTTATCATCAACTCCAAGCTTCAGAGAACATCTATGAAGAGAGGTGGAGATTCTGTGCGCCAGAGCATGAGAAGTGCAACCAAATCTTTTCAGCAGATGACACAGCTATTGCACTCAAGAACTCACTGCACATGTGGCAGTGTACAGAAGTTACATGAGATTTGGCCTGTGAGCATTTCATCCTGGGTGAGGAGGGGGGAAAACTAAGAGACCATCAATCCTCAGGGATTACTGGCATTCATGGTTTCTGAGGATAGAGGAGTAATTTTCTTCAGTGACATATCCACAGATATTTGCCCTTGTTGAAGTTAATAAATTCAGAGCCAGGCTTCAGCAAAAAACTTAAACTCCATAGGGCACAAACAAAAAGACACAGAAGAAAGAAAACACACTGAGAAGTAGGTGTTGAAGAATAGAGGGAAGGTACTGAAAATGGGTAATAGGAAACTGCAAGGCTAAAGTATTATAGAAATACATTAAACTGTGAAAAAATACCAGTACAAATGGGGGGGGGACCCTATGTAACTTTACTTTAAGAACACTTCTAAGAGCCAGGCAGTGGTGGCACATGCCTTTAATCCCAGCACTTGGGAGGCAGAGGCAGGCAGACATGGGAGCTTGAGGATGTAGATGTTCTTGGGTTGCAGGTTGTGATCAGCAGTACCCAGAATGCCTGCTAAGGAAGTTGTCCTGTTGCTGATTAACACCTTGAGAGAGGCCCTGATTGGTATCTGGTCTACAGAGCAAATTCCAGAAGAGTCAGGGCTACACAAAGAAACTCTCTCAACACCCCCTCCCCTCGCAAAACCAGTATCTAAATGTCAGCACAGGAGAGATGTTCCAAATATTAAAAGCAGATAGATAAGTTTATATCCTAGTATCCAGCTTATGCAGCTCATGAATACTTCTAACTCTAGTTTCAGTGGAAACTAACCACACTTCTAACCACAGGCATGGACACACATGTACACAGGCACATGTGCACGCGCGCGCACACACACACACACACACACACACACACACACACACACACACACACACACCGAGGGGTGAAGGAGACTATACATCTTCAGAAAAAAAGTCTATATGAATGACACTTAGAAAATTCAGATTCATGTAAATATAATTACCAATAAACTAGTAATGGCAAGCAAAAAAGTAACTTGGTATTTTAGAACAGCTTAAAAGTATTACTATAAGAAACACTACAGTTTAAATTTCAAATAAAACACAAATGCTAAAAAATTAGCTTCCTTTTAAAGTGCAGTAAACGTTCTTAACCACTGAAGCACCTCCCTGGTCTCCATTTTTTAATTTGTATTTTTAAATTTATGCGTATGTGTGTGTACACAGTCATGCATGTGCCTGTTGAGGACCAGAATGTGGTTAGATCCCTGGAACTAAAAGGATAGGTGATTGTAAGTCATCTGACTTACATGCTGGGAAACAAAGTGAACCTCTCAGGAAGTGTAGCCAATGCTTTCCATCATGGATCAATTTCTCCAGACTGCAAATAATTTCCCTATATGCTTGTTACTGTTGGAAAGTTTATTGTTTGTCTGAGGTTTCCAGGCAACAGAAATGACAAGGAAGAAAATCATGCCATCATTATTAAGCAAATATTTCTTTGTAAATTTTATTTTATTTTTTTTACATATTTTATTTGTGTATATTTGTGCTTTTAGGTGCATCAAGGTACTTGTAAGAGCCAGCTGACTTCAGTTGTGGCATTGAATGTTTTGGACCTGGAATCACAGACAACATATGTGCTTGCAACTCTCTGCAAAAAAAGTAAGCACTCACAACTGCTGAGTCAACCTTCCAACTTCTTTTTAAAAGTCTAATAATGACTACACTTCCCCTTCCCTTTTCTCCCTCCAACCCTTGCCATGTACCAACAATAAGTTCTGGAATTGATGGCATGCTTGACTTATTATTGAAACATGTTTTATAACTGCATAAATGCATTTTTGTTGTTTGGGTGGGTATAATTTTAGGTTTGATTGCTGTGTACTGGATAACCAATTAGAGGGCTCAGACCTGGGAGATACCACTTCTCTTTCATTAGTTGCCTATATTTTGTCTAGGAGTGGTAGCCCGATGAAATCTCCTTTCCTGTCTGTTGGTATTGTCATTGCTCTTGTTTTGGCAACCATATTGTTGAGGCATTATAGGTGTAGGTTCTGTTATTTCTAAGAGACATGGTCTCAGCTAAGACAACCTCATAGTCTGGTTCTTAGAAACTTTTCACTCCTTTGAAGATGTTCAGTGAGCAGCAGGTGCATGAGTTGTGTATTAGATGTATTAAGTGGGCCTGAGATCCTGATCATTATGAAAAGTTGTGGTTTTCTGGAATTGTTTGCACTAAAGAGTTTACTTAAATAAATGTATGGACTATACTTCTCTGTGAGTATAAAAATGAGTTGTATGCCAAGGGCCATGTCTGGGTCCATGGCCCTGCCACAACCATGGTTTGTGTTTCCTTGACTTCTGTTACCAGTCAAGGCCATGGGGATAGGGCTGCAAAGACTTGTCCCCACCCCTCACTGGATGCTACACTAGGGAGAGCTGGCTCTTCCCCTCTTCCCAGTTCCAGGCAGCAAAACTGTCCCTGGGGTCAGGAGAACAGGAGAGCTGCTCCTGTCCCTCGCCAGCTGCAGCACTTGGGAGAGTAGGTCCTGCATTATGCCTGGGCAGCATAGTTGAGCTAATCCTGTTTGAATGGGTGCAAGTGAGCCAGCCCTGAGGGTGTGAGAATGGGAGAGTTGGCCTCACCCTTCATCTGCCATGCGGTAGCCTGGGTAGAGAAATGAAACCCCATTGCCCCTTGCCATGTGATGCAAGTGGAAATACTGACCCAGTAGTCAGGAGAGCAAGCCGTTCCCCTCACCAGCAGCATCACTCAGAATACCTCACCTGGGCAACATAGTAGAGCTGAGCTTGTTAGCATGGGCATGCCTGCTTCAAGGGTATGAGAGTGGGAAAAATAGGCCCTCATCTGCCAGATGGTGATGTGGGCGAGGGAAAGATGTGACCTGTGAGAGCTGGCCCCGGGGTCATGGGAAAGCTTGACTTGTGCTGTATCAGCTGCAAGACTGATCACCTGTGAGAGCAGGCGCCACAACTCCCCAGGGCAACACAGTAGAGTTGGCTGTGGTGGTGTGCATGCAAGTGAGCTGGTCCCTGAGGGCATGAAAGCAGACCTGTCCCTGCCCCTTGCTGCCTGCTGCACTGGATGAGTAGCCAGGGCAATGCTGGAGAGCTCACCCTGGAAAGGATGAGGGAGAGGTGGTGGGCTGACCAATCCAGCCAGCTACCACCCAGGCCCAGGCCCAGGGCTATGGATGAATTGGCCAACTGCAACACCCACCCATCTATGAACCATTCAACATATGAAGGGACCAGTCCCACAGCTCCAAAGCTGTAGGATCACCATGCAACAGGGCAATAGGATAGCCGAGAAGAGTCCTAGTGAGGGCCCAGCACCAGTAGTGTAGGAAAAGCAAGAGGCATCAAGTCAGACCAATGCCTCATTGCAATAAACACTTGCAAGCAAAGATGTATGGACTAAAGGGTACACGACGTGACTCACTGGGCCACACTGCAGCTTCCACAATGAGATTTTTTCTTTTCTTTTAAATTGTATTTTATTTTATCTCGGGGGGTGGGGGGGAGGTTGCAAGGGCAGAGGGTGGATATGAAGGGATGGGGAGATCAATGTAATCAGGATGCATGATGAGAAATCCACAGTCAATAAAAATTTAAATTAAAAAAAATGAGTTCTGTGACTCAGGAATGATGTTGACTTAGTAAAAAGGCAGATGTAGGTTCCCCAAATTCCATGACATATTCTGGTTGGTTGATCAGGTTACAGCCATAATTTCTTACAGTAGCTGATTACCCATAAGATATGGATGCCACTACTGCACCTTTACTGATATCTTGCCATGATGATCACTGTTTTGGTTCACAGGGTTCTTAGTCATTTTCCTATTGCTGTGAAGAGACTTGGTGATTGCCACAGACCACCCAGAGGGAGACCACCACTGCGGGAGAACCAGGGAGAAGGCTCGAGGAGAAGTCAGGAATCGGCGAGGAAAATGACAGACAGACACACAATGTGTTGTTGTGCTGCTGCAGATTTACTTCTGCAAAATCAGTGCTTATATTCTTTTACAATCAAGGAACTTGGCAGGGGGTTACATCAGACTTTTAACTTTTACAATTACTCAGAATCAGCAAGAAACAATAACAAAGTACATCAGTATCTATTTCTGTGTATCACTTCCGCAGCTTGGAGTTCATTGTGGTTGTTGCTTAAGGGCATGATCTCAGAATTTTGTGAAATCTGTCTCGCGCCAAAGACCACATGTGTGGGAACCAGATTTTTACCAGCCAAGGTTTAACTCACCCTCTATATACTTTTGTATAATTTCATCTATTTCTTCCTCACTCCTATATATCCACTTATCCTTCCAGTTGTCATATACCCTTCTATACCAATACCTTAGGGCTGGCTTCATATTTTCTATGATCTGCTGTCTTTCATCCTTACTATAAAGGCACCAAGGCTTTCTAGTCCTGGCTAGCCTTTCCATAAAAGGCAAATCACTCCAAAGTTGTTTCTTTCCTTCATGATTCACTCATCTATTCCCAACTTCATCATAGCTTCCTGTATATGGGAGCGGCTCTAGGTAATTTCCACTCTCAGGGGTCCACCTAGGGGCTGTCCACCAACGCCCCCCAACACAGATAAGACATACAGAGAAAAAGCATGATTAGTGCCAACAAGGATCGTCACCAAGGCCATCTTGTCCTCCAGGGCCTCCTGGAATCCTCAGGCTGCATGACGACTGCTGATTGTGGGGGAACGGCTTGAGGCCTCGCTCCAGGAAGCTCTAACCTCAACCCTTCAGCTGCCGGGCCCCAACGCAGCGGCATGCTTTGCTACAGCTACACAGGTGTAACAGCTGTGGGCGTAGCAGGTGATCAAAGCAGTTTATGAAAGAAAACATGTAATGGCACTTTCAGAAGTTGAGAGTCCATGACTATCAAGGCAGGAAACATAACAGTAGGCAAACAAGCATAGTCCTGGGCAGTAACTAAGAGCTTCCATCATGATAGGAAAGTTCAACGCAAAATAGGACTAATTTAAAACAGTAAGTGCATGGAAATGCTGGAAACTTGCATTGCCAAGGCAGGAAAACTCTAGCTCCATGGAAACCTCAAAGTCATCCCAGTGCCACACCCTCTCCAACCAGGCCATATCATCTTATCCTTCTCAGCAGTTTCACCAACTGGTAAGTCAGACCCAAAGATAAATGTCATTTATCATCTCTCCTCTGCAATTCCTACCTCCATGTCTTCAGATGTGAAAATATAACCTAGAGTAATCAGAAAAGCCACATCTTACCTTCCTAATAAAGGCATAATGAAATGTAAAACTCCTGTGTAGGAATGGGACAATAATAAAAATGCTCAGAATTTGTGCTTCTTTCAAGCTGTTTATTTCTAAAATATTCTGGACTAACTTCCACAAAGTATTTCTGATATAAGATTTAACTACATAAAAAAGTTACAAAAATTTTATATCATTTAAAATGAAACAAAGCCATTTCATAATTTTACAATAATAATTTCTTTTGTTTGAATTTGGTTTTTGTTAAAGCTCCAAGTTGGTTGTCAGAGCTTCTTTTCTATAGCTGTGACCAATCAAATGTTAATGTGATTTTAAAAGGAAATATTACATTGGCCTTGCAGTTACAGAGGGTTAGTGTCCACAATGGCATAGCAAAGGCATGGTGGCAGGAACAGCTGTGAGCTCACATCTTAATCCATAGTCAGGAGGCAGGGAGAAAACCCTGGGAGTTTCAGTTTCTTTTGAAACTTCAAAACTTTCCTAGAGTAAAAGATATTCTGCAACACACCATACCTCCTAATCATGCTCAAAGAGTTCCATGAATTGAGAACAAAGTATCAAAATTTATGAGCCTACAGGGGCCATTCTCACTCGGACCACTACTACACTTGTATTCAAAGCCTAGGGGTGTGTGTGTGTGTGTATACATACATACATACATATATATATATGTATATATATATATATATATATCCTCATATTATTACATACACTGCAAGTGGCTTTCCTCCTATATATGCTAAAATACTGAGTTAAAATTGGTTTTAAAGGGTCTCACAATCTGTTTCTTTCCACATTTAAAACACTGTATTTGTTAGCGTCTCCATTCCTTTGAACATTTTATTTTACTCATTTCTCTCTCTCTCTCTCTCTCCATTTGGAAATGTGCATACAATTGTCAAAACACAGCTTTCACATGGTTACACATGTACAGTTTCACTCCAGGGTGAATTCTTTATGAATGAATGTTGCAGCAAATGGAACTGATGAAAGCTTTTGTAAGGTGATTACATGCACAAGGCTTCTCCCCAGTGTAAGTTGCTCCATGTATGCTACAGAAACTGGAAGCATTAAAGGCTTCTCATAATGGTAACATTAAGAATGTTCCTCCCCACTGTGAGGTCTTTTGTGCTTGATAAAATGAGAGCAAAGAAACAGTTTCCCATGTTTTATAAGTGGTTTTTCTCCAGTGTGAATATTTTCATGACTCCTATGGCACGTGGAATTTGTGAAGGCTTTGCCCCAATGTATTATATACTTTCTAGTGTGACAGCTTTCATGATTCTTATGACAAGTGCAGCTGAAGGTTTTTCCACAATGCTTGCATGCATAAGGCTTCTCTCCAGTATGAATTCTTTCATGAATGTAAGATCATCAAGAGTTTCCCCACACATAAAGGCTTTCTCTCCAGTCTTCTTTCAGAAGCATTACACCAACTGAAATTGACAAAGGTATTTCCACAATGCTTACATGCTTAAGGCTTCTCTCTAGTATGACCCCTTTCATGAATATTACGATAACTGGAGCGGGTAAAGAATTTTCCACAATGCTTGCATGCATAAGGCTTCTCTCCAGTGTGAATTATTTTGTGAGTATTAAGTGAACTCAAAAGGGTAAAGGTCTTACCACAATGCTTACATGCATATGGCTTCTCTCCAGTGTGAGATCTTTCATGAATTTTACACGTAGTGGAAGTGACAAAGGTTTTCCCACAATGCTTACATGTATGAAGCTTCTCTCCACTGTGAATTCTTTCATGAATGTTACGGTAAGTAGACCTGGTGAAGGTTTTCCCACATTGTTTGCAGGCATGAGGCTTTTCTCTAGTGTGAGATCTTTCATGAATGTTACGATTATAAGAACTAGGGAAGGCTTTTCCACAATGCTTACACATATAAGGCATCTCTCCAGTGTGAGTTCTTTCATGAGTGTTACGGTAAGTGGACCTGGTGAAGGTTTTCCCACAATGCTTGCATGCATAAAGCTTCTTTCTAGTGTGAGTTCTTTCATGAACGTTACGGCAAGTGGAATTAGTGAAAGTTTTCCCACATTGCTTACAGGCATAAGGCTTCTCTCCAGTGTGAGATCTTTCGTGAATGTTACAATAATAAGAACTAGGGAAGGCTTTTCCACAATGCTTACATGTATAAGGCTTCTCTCCAGTGTGAGTTCTTTCATGAGTGTTACGGTGAGTGGACCTGGTGAAGGTTTTCCCACAAAACTTACATGCATAAAGCTTCTTTCTAGTGTGAGTTCTTTCATGAGTAACACAGAGCTTTGAACTGGTGAAAGCCTTTCTACAATGCTTACATGTAAAATGAGGCTTCTTTAAATTGTGACTTCTTTCATGAGTCTTACGCCACCTTGAACTGGTAAAGGTTTTTCCACAAAGCTCACATGCATACGGTTTTTCTCCTGTGTGAATTCTCTCATGGCTGGTAAGATGATGAGAGAGAAGGAACATTTTCCCACATGTTTTACAAACAAAGGATTTCTCCCCAGTGTGGATTCTTTCATGACAGTTACGAGAACTAGATCCAAAGAAGGTTTTTCCACAATACTTACATGCATAAGGCTTCTCTCCAGTGTGACCCTTTTCATGAACATTTCGCCAACTAGAACTGGTGAAGGCTTTTCCACAATGCTTACATATATAAGCCTTCCCAGCAGTGTGAACTCTTTCATGAGCATTACGAGAACTCAAAATGGCAAAGGGTTTATCACAATATTTACATGCGTAAGGTTTTTCTCCAGTGTGAATTCTTTCGTGAATTTTAAAATAAGTGGGACTGGTGAAGCTTTTTCCACAATGCTTACAGGTATAAAGCTTCTCTCCGGTGTGAATACTTTCATGAATGTTACGACCATAGGAGCGGGTAAAGCCTTTTCCACAATACTTACATGCATAAAGCTTCTCTCCTCTGTGACTTACTTTATGTTTCTCAAAACATGAAGCATATTTAAATGTTTTCCCACAGAGCTTACAAATGTAATTTTTGTCTCCAATATGACTTTTTTGGTGGTTGATGAGGTCACTGGAGTCAATGAAAGCTTCTTTGCAATGCTTACACGCAAATGGTTTCACTCCTGTATGGATCCCTTTATCTTTCTGGCCATATTTGTATCTCTTTAAGACTCCCACATGGAACTTATCTTTGGTCTGAGTTCTCTCCTGAGGCTTATCAGAAGTGAGACTCCTACAGGCTTCATTACATTGTTGATTTTTATGGGATTTCTCTGTAGAAGTTTCAAGTACCTGAAGTGACTCAGAATGAATGATATCTTTCCAATGTTTCTCATGTCTGAAAGCCTTTGCCACAGCTTCCATATATTCAGGCTGTTTCACTCTAGTTTGGTTTCTTGGACACACATGTGAGGATGAATGAACAATGATGTTTCTTACATTTGCTTGGCTTTCACAAATTCTTATTGCAGAAGGCATGTCTTTATTTTCTGAAATTGGTTCCTGGATTTCATCACACTGACTATCACACTCATATCCACAGTCTTTCTCAACCACCTGAGTTCTGCAAACAAAAGAGAGAAGACCATTACTGTAAACGAGGGAAATATTGAAGGCCAGATCCTCTGATTCACTACAACTATACTATTCCACAGACAAGAACAAAATGCCTCCAATGTTAAAGACAGTATATAGACCGCATGTAAAGACCCTCTACGGGGTAAATAAGTATAGTGTTGACTTGACTTCTGTAAGAATTACAAAGGAAGCTGGGGGGAGGGAGCACACCTTTAATCCCAGCACTTAGGAGGCAGAGGCAGGTGGATCTCTGTGAGTTCGAGGCCAGCCTGGTCTACAAAGCCAGTTCCAGGACAAACTCCAAAAGCTACAGAGAGAAACCCTGTCTTAAAAAAAAAAAAAAAAAAAAAAAAGAATTACAAAGGAACTAAAGGCTCAGAGGTTAAGAACAATACTTGCTCTTCCAGCTCACTGCAGTTTGTTCACCAGCTGACATGTAGAGGGCCGACAAATTCTTGATACTCTTGATCTGAAGGATCTGTTGTCATTTTCTGACCTCCACAGATCTTTTTTTGTATAGGTCATATACACAAGCACACATACATACACATAAAATAATCAATGGACATAAAAGGAGGGAACATTCAGGCAAAGGTCCTGGCATTGTGAAGCAATCATAATAATGACTTAGAGTTGTTTAACACTATGGCATTTTGGCATTCTATATACTCTACCTGTGTTGGTTAGTTTGTTATTAAACTAGACCCAAGCCAGGGTCATCTAAGAATAGGGAACCTCAATTGAGAAAATGGCTTCATTAGATGGGCCTATAATCAAGTCTATGGGAGCATTTGTTCATTCTTGATTAATGAGAGAGGGCTTACACCATGTTGTGTGGTGTGTCCCTAGGAAGGAAGACTTGAGCTATGTAGGAAAGATACCTTAATAATCCGCGAGGAGCAAGCTAGTGAGCAGCATTTCTCCATGGTCTCCAATTCAGTTCTGGCTTACAGATTCCTACCTACTTTAAATTCCTGTCCTGTTTTCCCTTGCTGCTGTAATGTGGAAGTGCAAACCAAAATAAGCCCCATTAACCCCAAAGATGACATTAGTCATTGTGTTTATTACAAGAACAAAAAGCACTCTAAAATACAAGTTGAGTCCCAGGTTCACGGGGTATTTTTCTGACAGAGCTGAGCTCACCACTGTACAAAGGACTATGAGAATGTCTGGAACACTGGGCTGGAAAAAAATCAATGAATGTTGTTCAGAGGTTAATGAGCATTTGCAGGAGCTTAGAGGATAGGGATGCTAAGAACAATGTAAAAGATGGAAGTCTGGCTATTATAGATTCAGAGATGATAGAGGGCACATCAAATACTCTAATGGGGCAGTTTTTATGTTTTAAATTAAGAATCTGTGCTTCCCTATCACCTGGGCTTGAAGAATGACTGGGTATTAACAAGAAAACAGCATCATTTAAGAAAAACCTTCGGGGATTTCAGTCAGCACCCAGACTTGGAGTGCACAGGGTGCCAAGCTGCACATGAAGACGGTTGCAGCACACAGACATGTAGTCCAGATCTCAAGCTGGCTGAGGTTATAACAGTTTATGAGAAATTTCCAGGCAGTACTGGTTTTTGCATCCTGGGACCTGCTGGATTGAAAGGGTTTTGGAAAGAAACTGAGGTCTAACACTAACAAAGGCCAGGAGAGGCCATTACTGAAGGTACTGATTTGTACAAAGTGGAAGCACCAGGATAGAAGAGCTTTGGGAGAAGCTGATGTATGGCACCATGTCATAGGGTTGGAGTCCCTGAAGAGAGGCCAGGAGGCCATTGGTGAAGGTTCAATGTGGGGAGCTCCTGGTGTATTAGAAAGGCCAGTAGCATGGGAAGATCGCCAAGGACTGAGCAGCTGTGCAACGAAGTCAGTCTGACACCACAGGACAAGTGCATGGCAGAACCACAAGGGTGGATCATGCAAAACACTCAGGACATCAGGAGGTTGTGAACCAATTCCAAATATGGGATATGGATCTGGGGGATGACTGACACTGTAGAATTTTGGTTTTGCATTGATCTGACTAGAAGTAAGCCCCGGTTCTTCTTACTTTGAAAACAGAAGCACACACTTACTAATAATTTTTCAGGAGCTCACAGTAGAGACCTTTTGAGATTTTAAAGAGATCCAGGTATTTTAAAGTGACTAGCCAGTTAAACTGTTAGAGTCTTTTTAATGCTGGGAGACTTCAAATGTCATATTCTACTTTATACTGTGATATCAAGAGTATTTAGGGACAAACATTCCATGAAAGAATAGAGATTTTTGGTCATGTATTTGCGTGTCACATGATCAATTGTGCTGGTTCGCATTTCACAACTTGACACAAGACACAAAGCACTTCTGAGAAGAGGGAACTTCAACTGGAAAACAGCTCTATCAGACTGACTTTTAGGCAAGTATGTGGGGATACTTTCTTAATGAACTATTGATAAGGAGTGGCCCAGCCCACTGTGGGTGGTGTCCCCCTAGAGATGTGGGCCAGGGCTGAATCAGGCAGGTAGCTGAGAAAGGGATGAGGAGCACACCAGTAAACAGCATTTCTCCATCACCTCTGCTTCAGTTCCTGCCTCTAGGTTCCTGCCAGGCTTAAGTTCCTGCTCTGGCTTCCCTTTATGATGGGACTGTGACAAGGAAGAGTAAATAAAATGAGCTCCACCCCAGAGTTGGTTTTGGTCACAGCAAAAGAAAGCAAACAAAACACAGCACGTACGTTCCAAGTCTCAAAAGAATATATAGAAAGGTAGTAAACACTTTTGGATATGAAGGGAAGTTTTTGCTTCATAAACCACTGGAAAAGCTCTTTCAGAACTTGATATGGCATCACATGTCGGTGATATTTATAGATTGCACAGATGAGATACTCAAATATTAAATGATACAATTCAATGCTCCATTATAGGAATCTGTGTGAAATCAATTTGCATTTAGATATATTTGGATCATTATGTAGGATCTCAGTTGTCCTACCACTCCCAATTGTTTGATGAAAATTGTTTTCTATTGAACATAAATTACCCCAGATTTCTGCAGAGGTCTTTGTAGTCCTCTTCAATATTTTCTTCTAGTGTTTTCTCTAGAAATAAACCCAAAGAATTCATTATGACATATTCAAGATTTTTAAAAAATTATCCCTATCTAGCTCTTATGAGAAGGGCATGCACACTAAAGTCACTACATGTTCCACTCAGGAATTCAAATCACACCACTACACACAAAAGCAGGAAATAGTTGTTCTCTGACTGAATATGCAACAGGAGCATGCTTGTTTTTACCTATGAAGGTCAGGTTCAAAAATGTTTCCTTCATCACATCTTTGTAGAGCTTCTTTTGACTGGAATCCAACAAAGCCCACTCGCCTGAGGTGAACTTCACAGCCACATCCTCAAAGGTCACTGGCTCCTAAAACAGTGCACATAATGGATTGGTTACTTTTAACACCCAGGCAGAAGGAAACTTAATCATCTAAGGTGGATGTTTCTGAAGATACCTCGATGTGATTATGTAGATAAAGGTTAATCCAAGAATATTGTGGTAAGCTCCTTTGAGTTCTTATTAGAAGAAAGGAAGATGCAGTCAGTTACTACTCCACTGCTGTGAAGAGATACCAGGATAAAGCAACTATTAGAAAAGAAAACATTAAATCGGGCTTGCCTACACTTTTAGAGGATTGGTCAATGAGAATCATGGCAGGAAGCACACATGCATAAAGCTGGAACAGTAAATGAATGTTTTATTCCTGATCCAAAGGCACCAGGCAAAAAGATGTACATGGTATCTGCCATGGCCATTTAAAACCTCAAATACCACCCCCATTGAAGCACCTCCTACCATAAGTCCACAACTCCTAATATTTTTCAAACAGTTAACTGTGGACCAAGCTTTCAAACATACGATCCTATGGGGGTCAGTCACATTCAAAATAATGCACACACCTACCTGAGAGGCAGAATTTTATAAACTATGGAGGCGTTACATCAGTGGAAGGAGGGAGCTGAGACACAGACAACTATACGTCACCCAATTCCCGATTGTGTGGGATCTGACCAGCCATTTCAAAGTGATACATTCTATGGATTGTACCCTTCAATTGCGAAATAAAATAAATTCTTTCTGCTTTACGCCACTTTTCTCAGTGACATTTATGACAGCCAGATGAAAAGCCTAATATAAGAAATAGAAAAGAAAAAGTGGGGACATTGGTATAAGTAGATCTGACCAGGTTCTGTTTCATTTAGAATTTGTTTTGGGAGGAATTGGCAAGAGATTTTTCTTTAGAAAGGACGAAAGCTAGAGCACACTGAAAGCACACATTCTGATGGAGGCTTCAAAGACAAAAATGCTGAAAGAAATGCTCACAGAGGAGGTGTGAATCAGGAACCGTCAGTGGGAACAAGGACTTTGTAAAGAACTAGAGTAAAGGCTATTGCTGTGCTCTTAGAGTCAAGACTATAACTTCACTTTGCCTTACATCAGAGAACTTGAAATGAATGTGAATGCACAGATTATAGAATACTGTGGTAGAGGAAATGAATGTGAGCAAACCAAAATTTTAAACGGGGGAGCAGTAGGAATCGATAACAAGTTTAGTACTATGCATTGGGACAACAGTGAGGCAGGTAACATTGGGAAAATGAAAAAACTGGGACTCTATTTGACTTGGGCTTTGCACACAGTCCTCTCTGAACAATGCACCTAGCAACCACTGAGTATCCCTCTTTGAACATTTGAACAAACTTTTTTTTTTTTTTTTGGTTTTTCGAGACAGGGTTTCTCTGTGTAACTTTGCCCCTTTCCTGGACCTTGCTTTGGAGACCAGGCTAGCCTCGAACTCACAGAGATCCACCTGCCTCTGCCTCCCAAGTGCTGGGATTAAAGGTGTGTGCCACCACTGCCCGGCTGAACAAACATCTTTAGTGGGCTGGATCTATAGCTGCTTTAAAAATATGCCTTAGTAACTCCTTATTGCATTCAAACAGCTTTTGGAAAACTTATGGAACACATGGCAAATAAGCTGACCTGCAATGGAGTAGCTCTAGGTGCATGTGCAATAAGGCAAACTGTTCTCAAAAGAATGTTAAAGAACAAGCTTTCTTTTTTTCTTTATTGAAATTTTTGACTCTAAATAATTGGACCTGCACATTTTAAAAATCAGATCACTATGGGAAGTGGCATGTGTGGTTAGTAAGGCTGACCAAGTGTAATCCTGTCGGTCAAAACACCCAACCTTCTGTGCATGCTGTGTCTCTTAGCAACCAAGTCCCCTTTCCTTCAAAGCCCCCCAAGATAAATTACACCCTTCCTTACCCTTATTTACAGGGCCTGCTGACACCTTTCATTGCATATTTCTCTCCTGAAGTATGCCATCATTTTGACAAGTTATCTTTCTCTAAACAGGTATACCCTGTCCAGACTCAAACAACCAATTAAGTACTGGGCAAACCGGCAGAGGGAAGTAAACACATTTTTCTCTCTCATAACTAAAAATTGTCCTCAATATTTTCTACCCCACTTTCATTGTGACAGTTATGGCTGCAATGAATAACCAAACTAATCAGATCCTGTCAGCTATCATCAACCCAAGGCCTCCATGCCCTACCATACAGCTCGGCTGAGAAGGGACCCTCACCTCCTTGCTGTTTACCAGAACTGGATAAGAAATCAATAGAAAAGACAAGGGAAGGGGACTAATAGGTGATTCTGCCAATTCACAAACAATGTAGGATTCCTTGATTTCAATTTAGGACAATTTCTCTGCCCTAAATCTACAGTCACTTGTAATTTATGGGAGGGGCTTTCTTTTGTCTTTGTCTCATTTGCTTTCTTTTTCCCCCTGTGTTATTCAGAACAACATCATTTGGAAACTACTGATTTCTTACTGACAAATACTACACCAGTTACACAAATAATAACTGTTAACTATGGACATTGGTGTTTTCTAGAAGGTCAATGGACAAAGACACAAGGGAAAGAAGAGTGCTCTTACTGAAAAGGAGCTCAACTTCACAAAATATTCTACAATACTGGTATCACATTCTAAAATCCCCAGAACACTTTATATCATGTCAGTAAAAACACTAGGTAGAAAGCGATTGAGCCCTCAAGAAGGCCACCCCTAGCTAAGAAGGTAGTGACAACTGATGACTTTGGTGGTACCAAAAGTCATTTATCTTCAGGAATATGGCCACTAATATGTTGTCCATGCACCTCTGGACGGCCACACAATTTTGGACAGCACCAACTGAATGAAGTAGCTTATAAAAAACAAAAATAAAATGAAAACAAAACAAACCATAAAAAACACATGAAATTAAGAGTCACGTGTGCAGAGGGTATAAGGGATAGGCACTAATAAAATACCTCACTTACATGCACAAAATTCCCAATAACAAACATTTATTTGAAAGGGCTGTTAGTCTTTTAATAACAAAACAATGTAAGAGATGTCTGTAGGGCTAGGGCACAGGCAAGCAGGTAAAAAGCTTGCCATGCAAGTCTGAAGACCTCAAACCCTACGGAGGATGTGTGGGAAAGTACTTACTGTTAGTGGAAGTTTAAACTGCTGCAGTTAACAAGGAAATCAATGTGGGCTTGCATCAGAAGTAAAAACATCTCTTCAAATACAATGACAAGAGGCCCTATACTACCACAGATACATACACAGTCATGTTCATTGCTCCTCTGGTACAAACAGGTAGAAAAAGAATCATCAGGGAGATCTATCAGCTGAAGTCTGGAAAATGGAATTGTGGCACATAAACACACTGGAATTTGACACTGAAATGAAATTTTCAAGAAAATGGATGTAACTATAAGTGTATAAATATACTGAGCCACACGTCCTAAGTACACAAAGTCAAATGCTGTCTTTACATATGTATTCTCTCTTTGACTTCTTACCCATCTGTTCCAAAACTGGACTAAGTGTCCATAAAGACCATGGAGAAGAAAGGCTCCATGAGATCTGTGGGTAGGTGGAATGTTACAAGTATAGCAGAAAACATTATGTATGTGTCTTAGGGTTCCAGTTGCTGTGAAGAGACACCATCATCACGGAAACTCTTTCCTAACTCAAACTCCCAAAGTTCAAATTCCTCCAAACAAAAGCATGATCAGGTCTATCACAATACTACAATTCCTAGTACCAACTTCCTTTTTTAAAAAAATTATTTATTATGTATAGTGTTCTGCCTGCATGTATGCCAGCCAGATCACACTATAGATGGTTGTGAGCCACCATGTGGTTGTTGAGAATTGAACTCAGGACCTCTGGAAGAGCAGCCAGTGCTCTTAGCCTCTGAGCCATCTCTCCAGGCCCCCAACTTCTGTCTTAATTAGGGTTTCTATTATTGTGAAGAGACACCATTGCCACAGCAACTCTTAAAAGGAAACATTTAATTTTGGCTAGCTTACGGTTTCAGATGGAATATAGAAGAGATCAAGTTTCAAGACTAGATACATATATATGCACTTCTAACAAGCCACCATGGTGAGAATCAGCAACAATCTGTCAACATACAGCTCTTGCAACTGGTGTCTTGTGATGAAACACATCTGAAAATCATCAGGACTTTGGGTGAATTGAAAACCTATTGTGCTTAAAATCACCTGTTTGTCCACAGCACACACTGATGATTGTCTGTGTGTATAATGACCCAGTTTCTACACTTTATGCAAAATTGAAACTTTCCCACCCTTGTGACAGGAAAGTTCTGTGAATATCAACACACATATTGAGAACCAGGTCTTGAAGAGCCACAGAAGTCACAGGGCTAATGGGTTCCACTCCCTTGTCTGGGATTATTTTTAAGTTCTCAGTAGTGTACACCAAAAACAAAACAAAACAAAAACCATAAAATAGTATATGATTGTGTACTGTCTTCAGCTCAATGTCCAGTTGATTTATATTTATAAATTCTTACAGAAACATATCAATACTGTCATTACCCCTCCAACAGGGTTTTGAATTTGTCCCAAATAGACCTCAAACATGTGCATTTTCTAATGCATCCTAATAGAATAATAATAAAGGCACATCAGCATATCATCCAGCCTTCACCAGTTCTTAGTGAAATGTAAAGGTGTAGTAATGCTAACTTCATTATATGCAGAACTCAGGTGCATGAAAGAAACTATGCATAGATACTGAAAAAGTAGTATGCATACACAGTGGAATATTGTTACATGGTTATTTTTTTTTAAAGATTTATTTATTTATCATAGTACAGTGTTCTGTCTGCATATACACCAGCACACCAGAAGAGGGCACCAGATCTCATTACAGATAGTTGTGAGCCACCATGTGGTTGCTAGGAATTGAACTCAGGACCTCTGGAAGAGCAGCCAGTGTTCTTAACCTCTGAGCTATCTCTCCAGGCCTTGTTACATGGTTATTAAGACTG